GTTTATATTAAGAACTTAATTATTTTTTATTTAACAAAATTTAACTAAACAAATAAAATACAAAAAAAAATTAAGTATATTTAAAACATAATCAAAAATTATAAATAAAACAATTAAAATTTTATCAAAAAATTAAGTTTATTAAAAAAGATAATATAATTATGATTAAAATTTTATTAAAAAAATATTTTAATTATCTAAAAAATATTAAATTTAAATATTTATTTTAAATAAATAAAAAATTATAATATAAACTCATTTAAAAAATAATTTAATATTTTTATGAACGTAAATGAACTTGTAAAAAATTTATTTACACAACAAAACAGGTATTCTCTTTTAAAAGAGACACTTGATTTTCTTTCTGCTAATCCTTCCAAGATTATTGATTTCTGGCATACTGATGGTGTTCCCATATTCTTTCTTCAAGAACTAACAAACATTTATGAGGTATTAGATTCAGATAAACTTAAAAATGAAGAAATTTCTTACACTTGTATGGTTATGAATGTCTTAAAACTGATTGCAACTAATAAAGAAGTAAGAAATGAGATGATAAAAATTCAATTACCATTCTATCTTTACCCTTACATGAATAATCCTAAAGTAACTCAGAAATATGAGTTATTAAGAATATCAGCTTTAAGTTACTTAGATGTTTTTGTAGAAACACCTGATAAATCGGTTGTTACATTTTTTAAAAAATCAGAGCTGATTCCTTTATCTCTGAAGTGTATGGACATTGGTTCTGTCATTTCGAAGATATTAGCCAGCAAAATATTCTTATTTATTTTAAAAGAAAAGGAAGGGTTAGAATACGCAGTCCAAACATTGGAAAGATTTGTTACCATTGGTATTGTTTTAAATGTTGTTTTAGGGCAATGTGTAGGTTTTAAGTCACCAGAACTGATTAGAAATATTTTAGAGTGTTATTGTATTTTAGTTACTGAAGAGAATGTTAAATTAAGTTTTAAGAATAGTATGCCTAAGAATCTTACTGATGAAAGGATCCTTTCTAAAATCAAGAATGATGAAGTGTGTAGAGATTTGTTTCAAAGGTTTTATTCTTGTGTTAATAATGGAGAGTTTTATAAATTTGATTAAAAATAATTATTAANNNANTTTGGTCATTAAAAATGAATGCAATGTTTTTTTAGAATTTATGAATGTTTTACTTTGAATATATTTTATGAAATCAAAGAAAATATACTTTTTTACTTAGAAATATAATTTGCTGTTGTTTTTTCTTGAATAACTTACTTATATATGACAGTAAGAATTTTTAAAACATAAATTTAAGCATGATTTTCTACCCCTAGGCAACAAAAAAATAAACAAAGGAAGATAAAATATTTAAAAAATAGAAGCTGATCATAGAAATCATATTTTAAATCTAAAAGATTATAGATTTATTACAATTAAATTACTATTCTAACATAAAATGAAAAATTACTTAAATATATTAACTAGGAAGAAAAATTCTCGATAAATTCTGAATTTAATTTAAAAAGAAGACTTTAAGACTTGAACTAAATGAAAAAAATTATACTTCAATATAAATATATTTTTTTATGAATTTTAAGATTAAAGAACTAAATCAATATTAACACTGGATTTTTTATAAATATTGACCACCTCTAACCATATCTGATTCCTTATTGGCGTATAGGTATAAAATCATGTTTTTTTTGTGTGGTACTGCGAAATTAATGCTCAAAAATTTATTAATTTTAAATTCTTACTTGTTTCCATTTATATTTGTTAAATTAATCAAAGAATAACAAAGAATTTAAAATCCTTTTCCTGAATATTAATTTATAAATTAATGTAAATTCAATGAAAAAAAAACAGTTAAAAAATTTTTATTCATATCATACTTCTTTAACTCATTATTAAATTCATACCATTCTTTATTTGAAAAAATCCTCTCTAAATAAGGTACAGAAAGTAAGAGTCAATATTTTTTTATCTCTGTTACAAAGTTTAACCAATATTTCTAATGTTATTTTGTCCCTCGATAGTATTTGTATGGGTACCATTAATCTTGTTTTTGAAATCTTTTTTAAGGTTAATGTGTGTTTTCCTAAAGACAGTTAGTTGTTCACAAGCTAAAAAATATGATTACCAGCATTCAGTTAGAACTATTGACTCTGGTGTTACAAATCTTTTAAAAAAACTTTAATTGTTTTTGAATTCTCTCATCAAACATACCCTTTTTTTCGTTTATTTAAAATATGCGATCAGTTAAACACCTTTAACTCAGTATATCAATCATATTTAGCCTTCTCAACTTTGTTTCATTAGTTTCAACCTCAACCCCTCATTTCCAATTTGCATTTCAGTGTCTTTTACAGATTCTTCTATTATTTGAGTTAATTACTACAAGTATCCTTTCTCTATGATTGGTCACTTTCATATTAGGAAATGATCATCATTTGAAAAAAGAAAATTATTTATTGGTTTTAATTTAAGGAGTAAAAATATATAAACCAAATTCATAAATAAATGATGCCTTTTCATAAACATACTTTTAATTATAAAAAGAAACAAGTTGGTAAGAACATATCCAACCATTTGTATTAAAAGAGGCTCATGTTGTAATAATGGCTGAAGAGAATTTAGTAACAACAATAATATTAGAGAAATAAGACTTATAAAAATGTATCAACATTAGAACATTGTTGGTTTATTAATTTCTAGCTTTCAATTTTTGAAAATGTATGTTATAAAATTTACTTTATTACCACAGTATTTTTTGTTACGCTTGTATCTAAATTCCTTCAAATTAATAGAAAATAAGCTTTAACACTTGCTACATTCTTTTCATTTTTCTATAAATACCCCTTTGAACAGATATTTTACCGCCTTTTCTTCTGTTTTAAAAGTTTTTTACTTCCAAGATTAAACTTAAAAAATTTTTTAATGTATTATTAAATATCAAAAAATCTTGAATGGTTTTCGTAACACAATAAAAAATTGGAATTTAGCTTAGAACATAGGCCACTAAAAGTCGCTCAAAAGTTATCTTTTTGTTGACCAATATTTCAAACTCTATTTAACTTCTCAAACACTCTTTGATAACGTTACTAAACCACTTTCTTAAATGAAATATAAACAAAGATCATCATAATATTCATTATTCCTTTCTTTATAAATTTGAAATACAATGAGCTGTCTTTCTTGCTGGTAGCTTCTCTGATAAAGCATTTTCTGTTCGNAGAGAAAGGATACTTGTAGTATCCAACTATCACTATTTAGATTATTTCATAAATTCAAAAATACCAATGTTATAATTTTAATTTAACTAATTGTTTGAGAAATCATCATTACTTATATTGTTTAAATAAAAAGAGTTATTTTCTGAAAACATTCTTTATTTATATCTAACGTATTTATACTTTTAATGTTTCAGATGTTTAATCATTAAATCAATTAATCATCTGAACATAAACGTCAAAGTCAATCCACTATTATCTGAATATTCCTGACACACTAATATTATTCAAATTTTATTAATTTATTAATTTATCGATCATTATTTTATGAATTTATTTAATTATAATTTTTATTTTTATTTATTATTATTTTTAATTATTAATTTATTAATTTTATAATTTTATAAATTATTATTTTTTTTATAATCTTATTAATTTATATTAAATTATTAATTTATTTAATTTATTTATTAAATAAATCTCCTTTTTACCTCCACTTTTACTAACCCTATAACTATANANNTNCTTTNAANNGCANTANCNATATGAAAAAGAACTTAACTCCAAACAAGCCAAAAAGACCTGTAAGTGGGTACATAAGATTTACATCAGAACTAAGAAAACAAGACCCAGAACTTAAGAAGATGTCAGTTGGTGAGGCTTCAAATTATTTTTCCAAAAAATGGGCAGAACTTTCCCAAGAAGAGAAACAAAGACTTTCTGATGAATACAATGAAGAGATGGTTTCTTATAATGAAGCATTTGCTAAATATAAGCTTACAGATGAGTATAAATCATCACTTAAGAAAGGTAAGAAAGAAAAGAAGAAAGTATCACCGTACAATGTTTTTATGGCAGAGTCTTATGAAAGAAAAAAAAAGGAAGGAAGCTGTGAATTTAAAGAAGTAGCCAAGGAAGCCTCTCAGTTGTGGAATAAGCTTAGTGAAGAGGATAAAGAAAAATTTAAGAAGAAAGCTGATGAAGTGAATGAAGCTAGGAAAGAAAAAGAGAATAAAATTTGAATAAAAATATTACTTAATTTTTTTATTAATTTGTTCTAATTGATTTAAAAAAGTAATTTGAGAATCTTAGAAAATAAAAAAAATTATTTTTTTAAATTTATTTTTCTAATTTGATTTATTCTTTTTTATGCTCTGATAATCAAAAAAATCAATTTCTATTCAATTTTATATATGTAAAAAACATTAAAAATTACTATTTAGTATAAAAATACTCCTCTTTTAAATAATAAAGGTTAATTTTAAATTAAAAAGCAATTTTTTATTTTTAAAATTGACATTATTTTTATTTTAATTTTTATTTTTAATTTTTATATTGATTTTTTATTTTTTAATTTTTAATTTTTTAATTTTGTTTTTTAAATTTATATTTTTTAATTTTTTTATCCCTTAATGTCATTCATACAAATAGGAAGAGTTGTTACACACAGATTTACCAACCAAAAAATGATCATCACCGGAATAATAAATGATAAATTTGTAGTCACACAAGACAGCACAGGTGAGAGATACAAATTAACAGTCAGTCAATTATCACTTAGTGATGAATTAATTGAAATTAAGGAAAATGAGTCAGTTGACAATGTTAAGAAGGTTTTTAAGTGTAATGAAGATGTTAAACTTGAAAGTGATTTTGATAGGTTTAAGGCTAATCTCATTGAAAAGGTAAAGGAAGGAATAGTTAATGGAAGAATTAATTAAATTATTTACTTTTTTTTTATTTTATATTTTTAAGTGTATTTTATATTGTTATTTATTTACTAAAGGTCCTATAGTGTAGAGGTTATCACATAAGATTCTGATTCTTGAAACCCGTGTTCGATTCACGGTAGGACCTTCTTTTTATTTTTTTATTTTTATTAATAAATAATATATTGTTAATTAATGAAAATAAAAAAACAATAAATAAAGGAATAATTTTTAATATTAAATTAAAAAATTATAAATATTTTAATATTAATTATTTAAATTTTCCTAATTAAATTTTGAGTTTTATAAAAAAAGATTCATAATTTATTTAACTCAAATTCTTAGTAAATATTAAAATATTAAATAATTATTTTTTATTTTTAGAGTAAGTTAATCTGAATAATAAATTTAAATTATTAAGCAATGCTAAACATCATGACTTAATTTAGATTAATTTTTCTCAAACCATCTTAATTTAATTAAATATAAATTTTAAGGTAGTGTTAAAATTACATTTTTAATAATTTTATGTTTAACTAATAATTTTTTACATTGTATTTTATTACCAAACACAACAATTATTTTTACAAAATATTTTAATTATAAAAATAGTAAATTATTAAAAAATGTGTATTTATAGTATTTGATGGATAATAACACAAAATCAGATGTTATAAGTAATAATATTTTAAATTATCTTTTATTTTTCTACAATCAATGGTATAAATTTGTAATATTTTTAATTAAAAACATACAATACATTAAAATTTGAACGTTTTACTATATTTATGCAAAACTTTTTTTATAAAGAATCTCTTTTTTTCTGTTTTAAAGCTAATCTGTTCTTACTTGTTTATCACTTTTAAAATTGAATATTACAATACTAAACTTGTAAAATAAATTAAAAACATATTGTGTTCAAATAATATTTTAAATTTCACTTTATTTTTAACAGAAAATATTAAATAAATTTATTAAATTTATAACTAATTACTTTTTTATAAATAAATTTGGTTAAGAAAAAAAATTAATTTTTTTACTTGATAAATTTTCTCATATTTGATCTTAAATACAAAATATTCATTAAATTTTTTATAAAAAAATAATGTATTTTTTTTAATCATTTTTCACTAAAAATTATCCAATCATACAAAAAGAATGATTGAATATTTTTATCATATTTGTTACATACAAATTCATAAAATAAAAGACAATTAATTGAAAAAAAACAATACACTTTAAAAGAATACTCAATCAAAATCAATACATTTACACTAAAATTAATAGTTAATTTTTTTATAACTAAAAATGGTATCAAAAGTGTTATAAAAATATAAATTAATAATAATATTGATACATAAAAATAATTATATGTTTTAAGTACTAAAACTGAAACTGCTGTGTTAAAAATCAAAAAGATGAAAATTAGAAAAAATAATTCTGAAACTAAATAACTAATTAATAATTTAAATCTCAAACTTTGTGCAAAGAATAATACTTTTAAGTAATAATACATTATTCTTAATATTTTTATCATAAAAATTATATTCAAAATTAATGATAAAATAAATAAAATTTGATAAAATAATTGTAATTTTATAAAAATATTTATGTAGATTCTTTTGATATAAATTGTATTAAATGTTATAATCAAAATCAAATAAGAAAGTTTTAGAGTTTCATGGATTATTTTTCTTATGTTTATAATTAATTTTACTAAGCTTATAAATTTTTCTGATCTGCGATAGATTAAAATTAAGTATAACAAACTTAATATCCAAAAAATTATTACAAAATATAATTGACAAAATATATCAAAAATTCTTAAAAATATAATAAAAATGTAGAAGTCGTTGTATATTCTATCTAATGCAAATAAAAATCTTGCAATAGCATTGTGTGTTTCTATATTTTTGTTTAATTTTTCTTTTCTTTCGATTTTTAATTTTTTCGATTTTTTAGTTTTACTCATTTGAATGGGATTTACATAATTTATTTTTAAAATGATAACAAAGATAAATTAAATTTTAAAAATTTAATCTAGAAAAAATATTCTATTTCTGTTATCAATTTAAAAAAATTTTTATTTTCATAAAACATCTCTCTTTTTACAGAATTCAATTAAAGAAAATCAGATTTAAAAAAGTAGCATTTATTTCTGCAATTAAAATATAATTTTTGAATATATTAACTTTAATTATTATTTGTGAAAAACTTTTTATTTTTTATGATAAACTCATAAAAGATTTAAAATTTGAAGAAAAAGGGGTTTTTTGTTCAATATTCAATTATTTATAATTAAAATACCTTATTAAAAAGTGATTTGTTGCCTTTATAAATGCCAAAAAATATTATAATTAAGATAACATAGAAAATATTAAGAAACAAAAAATAAAGGTTAACAACATCAAAATCCTAAACTAATTAAAGAAGAATACTTTTTAGTAGATAAATAATTAATGATCCTAGGAGATTAAAAAAATGTAGAATCAAATTACCAAAGTATATTAAATTTAAAATTTGGTATGTAAATAAAGTAACTTCTCTTTTCTTCTTAATTTTTTATTTAACTTGTAGTTACATATAAATTTACCAAAATGATGACATATCTTAACGTGTATAATTCATGTCGCTTAAATTAAAATAATCGTAATTTGTTTATTATATAAATGGCATATTACTTTAAACTATGAATTTTAGAAAATATATACAATAATTTAATTGAATTCTAATACATAAAATATTTATAATATAGATGAACAATTTTATCTTACAACTTTTGATTAAAAGAAAATTAAAAAAAAATAAAAGTAACAAATGCTGTAAAAATTAAATGTATAATCTATCAATTATCAATCTTAAACTATGCGATTTTTCAAAATTTTTTCTTAAAATGCTAAAAACGGAGTACAAACTAGATATAACAGCCTGGTAACAGGAATTATGTTGATCATGAATATTTTAGTTCTTAAAATATTAAAAAAATTTTATTAAAGTGTTTGTTATATAAAATCAGGGGTTTTATAACACAGAGTTTTCAATTTATATATGATTTTTTTTCATTTTCAATTATTAAACTTAGTAATAATTTCAGCACTCAAAAAAACAATCATCGAATAGGTTTCTGATTCGTTAGAAGTGGGACTTTAAAGAATAAGGCAACATAAATATCTTAGATACAATTTTATTATAAAACATTTTTTTAGGTGTAAAAAAAATCTTATAAAAACTGTTTTCTACGAATTTTGGAAGGAAAAATATTTAAATAACTTGTTCTATCAAAATAATGACAATGATTTGATTACTTGATTCTGCAAAATGTTTTACGTAAAAGAAAAGCAAGTATTAATTCATATTTTGTGCATAAATCTATATTTTTTAAAATAAGAACATATTTTCATTAGTAGTCTTGTTGAGTATATTTTTATATTTAAAGATATAATTACAACTGTGGTAGCATACTCAAAAATTTGTCATATGGTATCGCAGCATATTAAAGTATAAGCAAAAAACGCTTTTATATTTTTATTTTATATTTTTACTTTTTTTCTATTGTGACTGTTTTTAAAAATTATCATCTATTTAAGATGCTTATTTATATAAGTTGGATGCTTTGGTGGGTCTATCACTCTCCTTGTGTTTTATAATAAATATGATTGTCAAAGGCCATGATTTATTTAAAATGTTTTCTATATATTTTTAACGGAGAAGTATTTGATATAATTCTTTAGAGAAAATTAATATTAATCTCTTTTACTCCTTTTATGGCATCTTCTAGATGTTCAACAAAACTACAACGAAATTTATTTTTCTCAAACATTACATTTACTACACGACTATTTAAATGTGCTAATAATACTATTAGTAAGTTACAAAAGGTTTGGTCAAAGTTTACGCAAGAAATTTCTAAAGATATGAAAGCAAAAAAATAAAAGAACCTGTATGAGATCATTATCAATTTTATAAACAACCTAGTGGTGAAAATAACAGGCTAAGCAGTTTTTTACTCTGATGGAAATATTGGTAAATGTTTAATAACACTATCATTTAGAAAAGCATAGACATAAAAATACCAAACTTTGAAGAAGTGAGATGTAAGAATATAATAAAATATTTTGATCTGAAAATTATAAGCAGAATGTAATTTTCGGAAATACAATACTAAATCTAGAGATAAGAAGAAAGGGGTTTTAGAAGCTTTTTTCTAACGGAATGTTTTATATATAGACAAGCAAATTTATGCAAATGAAATAGTAAAATTAAAAAAAAAGTTTACAAATTGATGCAGAAATAAAAGAATCTGAAAGTAATAAAGAAGGCATCAAAAGATATAATAAAACTAATTATTTTTATTTTTTATTTATGCTTGTCAAATATTTTTAAAATATCATTTATGCTTAGTTCTAAAAATGAATTATTAAAAAAAATATCCATCATTCCTAAATGACCACCTGTCTCTAAAAGACATAAAATTAACAACCCATTCTCTTTAATTTCATCAAAAGGAATAGTATCATAAGGAATTAATGGATCATCCTTAGTGTTTATAAATATCATTGGTGTTTTTATTTTGCTTAGTTTTCCTTTACAAGATTGGGTATGGTAATATTCATCAACTGATTGAAAATTAAATACCTTTGTTGTTATGACAGAATCAATTTCTTCAACTGTAATTAAATTTTCATAATCGTATTTTTTAAAAGTTTTATGTTTTCTTAAATATCCTTTAAATTCTAAAGCCATAAGTAAAGAAACACAAGAAGTTTGGTGTTTACAATTTAAAGCATAAAAATCAAATGGTACACACACTCCTATCCCTAAAGATATTCTATCATTTACATTTTTTGATAAATAATTGGTTACCCAACTGGCACCCATACTAAAACCAATCAAAACTAAATTTCCTTCAAAGTTATTCAAAATAAATTCTATGACAGATTCTAAATCATCTGTGTAACCAATGTGAAAGAATTTTTCTGACTTTAGTTCGGAAATAGAGCCTCTGGCATTTACAGCAAAGATTCTGTGCCCTTTTAACCTAAATGCTAAGTTATTTATGTAAGATACAGAACTAGATCCATTGAATCCATGTACTAAAAGAATATTCTCTATTTTGCTAAATGGTCTTTTTTCTAAAATTTCATTTTT